AACAAACACCGGCAGGGTTTTGAACTCTGGGCAACAGATCAGTCAGTAGCTGGGGCTGCACACTTCTTCATTCTGCAAGCTGCTCTTCTCTCTGCTTAGCTGGTAGAGGACACAGAATTTATGTGAGGCTTCTCTCCCAGTTTCAGAACTAGCACAGAACTAATTAATTAACACTAAACTTACTGCAATTATATTTGAAAAACACGGGTTGAGCACTTTGCTGATAATGAAATTTTCTGCATGTGAACTCAAAGAATGGAAATCTAAATCTTTGATACTTTTCTGTTTAAAAATATGTTTTCAGTCTTCAAGGCTTATACTATCTTCCAGACCACAAATGAACATGATGCTGCCTTCTGGATCTTGTAGGCAATTTCAGTGCCTTCCAACATTGCAGTTTTCCATGACCTGAGTGGGTTTCTGCCTCAGCATTTTAGCTTGGATCAGGATGTTGCTCTTGAAGCAAATCTCTTAATGATTGACTTTTACTGTCCTTTGGTTTGCACAGTAGAGCAACCTGGATTTATTTTGGGTAAGACTACAATGTAAGATGTACAAGGAGTGCTACTGGACTAGTCTGAATATAAACCAAGAAACCACAGTCCAGATGCATGGTCATGAGCACCAATACTGCCCTTCACATTGCTCCCATTTACTATGCTGTTTGCTACTGCATCTCATGACTATTACTCCAAAATTTCTGGCTAACCTGAATCCTGAGGAGACATGTATGGCTATACCTGAACTAGCCATTTAAAGCTGGACTGCCTTAAACACTGTATGAAATATCTATAAAAAACCTGATGAATATTTATAAATTATTTGATACATCCTAGCTGTAATGGAGACACAAGTAACTCTGCAGCAGCTGTCCTAGGCTAACACTCCATTTCACTTACTGTGACAAAATTGTTAGCATTATTCTGCTCATAATCAGGACAGCAATGAAGAGCAGAGGAGATGAACAGTGGAGGGTGACTGGTAATATGACTGATTTACACACTAAAAAAGCTGATTTCCTGAGTGCATTTCAGGACATATAGTCATATTTGTCTAAGTAGTGATTTTAACATCAGGGGAAAAAAAATAAAAAGGAAGATAACTACAAACCCAACTTCTTAATTTTAAAGAGAGGGGTGGAAATACATACCGCTGTAGCAACCTCAAGCCTATGTAGATCTTTTTCACAGTCATAGGTCTGTGCTAGTAGCTTCAAGTTTAGAAATACACTTCAAGCTAATAGGGAAGAAACAGCACTTTAACAGAGCTGCAGCGCATTATTTGTCCAGCATCATCATATTTAGTGGGAAGGCAGGATTAGAAATAAAGACTTTTACTGGGGGCAGACTGATTTTTGCCTCACCTCATATTAGCCTCTAGACAGCAGCAGCGTTAGACTACAGTGAGTCTTTCTGCCACAAACCAGAAACTTCTCCAAGTTCCATGCCTATTCAGGATCAATTAACACTAATTAAAGAGAGAACTTATTTCTATACCACTCAACTGTCTGAAACTTTAGTTGTACTACAAACTTTTCTTCCATCCCTCATTTCCTTCCAGTATCAGGTGTGTTCAAGAGTTACCTCTGAAAACAGAAACACCTAAAATATAGGTGTGGCAACCAAATGAAGCATTCTTCTCCTCTGTAGTTTACTTTCCTCACCAGTATTTTACTTCTCTTTTATTGTGCTGCAATACACAAAGCCTCTACATATTATATTCAAAGGTCGATAAGACAGCTAAGAATTTCAGGTTCTGCTGTTGGGAAATATGAACAATAAAAACATAGAAGAAAATCAGTGGTTGTATCCAGGTACAAGCAGTGGGCGATTTCTATATAATTAACTTCAAAAATTATTCAACTCGTTAGCCTTAAATAACGACCAGAAAATGCTGACTACTATTGGTTGTGGTTCTACTTTGCAAGCATTCATCTCCTGAAAAAAACCCTTTTTAAATGGTCTTGCAGTAATTCAGACAAATTTACATCTGAAAAGTGATGTACAGTAATTGCACATACAGTCACATTATTCAAATTAATATTTTAAGTGCTTTTAAATAACTAGAGCAGACAGAAGGAATGAAAAGTAGAATAAAAGTCTATTTTTTAAAAATACAATATTTTCCATAGGAAGCTAAAGTGTTATTAATCAATGAAAGTAAAGAAATTACAATAACTGGGCCACAGCAATCTCAATTTCCTTTCAGAACACTATGAAACAAACAGGCTAAGGGGGATTTTAAACTTCTCTTTTGAAAGAGGAATGTGAAAAATATGTTTGTAAAACACATGCTCCTAAATTGTGATTCATTTCCTACATTTAACCTTGCAGTGCTTCCTAGCTAGTTCTGTTATAATTCATTTTCCGTGTAACTGTTGCAATCTACATCACTGTTACAGCTCTAACAATAAGTTATCTCAGGTTTTTTGCTTGCTTGGCTGTTTTAGGGCTTAGCTGGTTTGGGGTTTAGGTTTTTCTGGTTGTTGTTGGTGGGATTTTGTTTTGTTTTAAATTGGCTTTCCTGCATGAACTTAAAACATGATCGTATAAAACTTGAAATTATGGATTTTGTTACTGTTTATAATTCAGCTGTGACTACTTTTTTTTTTTCCCAGCACCACAGATAAAGACACTTTTCTCATTAAATTATAGTTTTTTAATGTAGGTCAAGGATTCTGCCTGCCTAATGAGACATTTAAAAAAACCAAAAAAAGCTTTCCAAAATGCACTTAAAGAAATCTTACAATGTTTCCTACCATATGGAAAAGAAATTATTTCAGTTCAAGTTTCTGAAATTAAGAAATTTTCTCAGTTAAAACACATCCCAAAGTTTATTTTTCTCTTACAGGCTGGTTTAATCTGCCAAAAAGCACTTCTCAGGGTTAAAGCTTTCAATGACTAACAAAAGTATGGTGGTTTTGTTTTTTTTTCCTTGTTTAAATGTTAACTGCTGGGTAGAAGAGATTACAGGGCTCTTGTCTGCCATCACTGATCAAAGTTGTTATCTTGGTGTACTAACAATCTTAAGGGAATTTTAAATTTTGTAGCAAGTGTACTTTCTTTGCAGGAAAGCTATCCAGAAAGTGGAAAAAATGCACTCAACAGCATCATCTGCTTTATCCAATAAACTTAAAATTGATATAATTGAACCCATCACCTCGATAAACATCTCAGCATTTACCTTAACCTTCTGAGAAGCTGGGTAAACGGAGAAAGTGGGACGCAAATTAAGGTGACGTAGAAATCGCCAGGACTTTTCCTAGGAAAGCAGGACTTCTACTTCTGATCCAATGACAGCAAATCATGTCGCCTGCCCTTTAATTTTACCACAGGGTCACCTTCCATCTCTCATGTAACTACTTGTTACCCACAGTTACAATTCTCTCTATTTTACCTGGAGAAATCTAGTCAATTGTTTGGGATCGAGCAATTCCCATAACAATGCTTACCCAGATGTTTGATCACTCAAGATTTTGCTAGTTCACAGTGATTAGAAAGGTCAGATTCTGTAAATAATTTAAGTATGTGTAAGTCATAAGATCTGAGATACTTGATAAAAATTACAGCTTCAGTGATAATTTGCTTCAGACACCTCAGTTTCCAAATTAAACATGAAAGGAGCCAAGTGCCCTGAAAAGATACATGCTTTGTTTCTCTTTTTCAATGGAATGTTAATATATAGCACTGTCTAGTACCTTGTGGAATAACCGAATGAACTGAATTTTAATTTAATTTGGACATAAAGACTTACTCTGCCCACAGGGCTCATTGGATGAGCAGCATAATCTGATGTCAGATTATAGTTAGTTGCTTCACATATCATGCTTACTGGTCGCTCCTTCTTTTCTTCAGATGTCATTGCTGCAGCAGTCCTGAAAACAGAATTATGTAATAGCACTAGAACATGCTGTGTGTGCAGACTGCTATTAAAAAGCACCCCTAGATGTAGCCTAATACAGCCTGTGTCCTACTTTTCCAACTTGAAAGTAATTCACACTTCATTGTAAAGTTACCTGCACTGTGTTTGAAACTTAAATCTATTATAGATTAATTTTAAGACATTGTTTTAACATAGGATTTCTCTGTTAGCTTATGGTGTTGGTGGGAGGGGAAAAGACAGGTATGAACATGAGATGGAAATGGGAAGAAATGCTCTCCAAAGTCCCCATATGGCTTTGTCCCACCTCAGTGAGAATGTGCACATTTATGAAATTTCACATCTTGCAGTCCTGAGGGTTTTCACTCTAGCCACTGTATAATGTGTTGCAGCAACGGTGGCAAGTAGGACATCCAGTACCCAGCCACATATAAAATCTTGAGGTCAGGTATGACTTCCACGCGTACCTTCTCATATTGTATATTCTACAAAACTACTGCAAAGATAGCAAACCCAAGTTATTATCCAAAGATTCAGTAAGTGTCTCAACTGGCCACGAAAAGAGCCAATTGAAGAGAAACTATCAGGCAAAACATGATAGATTAAAAGCATGTGATTGTCCTTAAGTGATTAAAAAAATTATACCTTTTTTGAAGGTTACTGGATGATTATATAATACACAGGACATTTGCTAACACTACAGAGTAACTAAAGTGACAAGTGGAAATTCACACAGTGCATAAACGCTGTGTATTTCTATCATATAACTAATTTGGGCTATGTTTTTTGTCTTAAAAATTAGTATTAAATATTTAGTATTACTTTTAAATAATTTAAACAAGTGAAACTTTACACTTGCTAATCTGACTTGGAAAAAATAAATTAAATATTGCATTTAGCAAACACTGAATCTTAATTCAATATTAACAAGTTTTAAAACATGTATTTTATAGACTGAAACAGATGCCACTTACTGTTCATTCACAACAAAAATACAGTTGTCCTGCGATGGCTGTCCTGTTACTGGATGTTTGCAGGTTACTTTTCGTTCATTGTGACTGTGGAAGAGAGATATGGAAGATTATTAGGCAATAATTTTTTTTATTTTCAAGCTCAGGTACATAAATCCAGTATATAAAGTATATAAGCCCAGTGAAAATTATTATCAATATTTCATTATGACATATAATGATGTATGTGTATACACACACACATATATAAGCTAACAAAAAGGATAATGAGAATTAAAGAATTGTCTTGAATGCTCTGGAAAGAGATGGAAAACCTTTGTACTTGGCTGGTAATGGTTTTGAATTTAAAAACTAGGGTAATAAGTGTTACTAGTTCATATATGATCACCGATAACTTACTTCACATAAGTCTTTAGCTGAAATCCTATTTATGAATATATAGGCAGAGACAAGTTAAACAAGACATAAGCAACCGTTCTGTAGGGATAAACTAACAATGCAGTAAACGCAATTGTCTTCTAGCTTAGGACATGAAGTTACCCGTTTAAAATTTTCCTAATAATAAAGATAAATATTTAGTGATTGGAAGGGAGTGATATGTCACAATCACAGTTCTACTTTTGCTGGTGACTTTTGATTCAGAGTGCTCCTCCCCTGCAGCGTTGTTCTTGGGAGCACCTTCAAGCAGCAGGGAGCCTGCCGGCTGAGGGCTTCACCCTCATCAGCGCAAAATGCTCACTTTGCAGTATCTTGTTCCCCTCAACTGCAGGTGTTGCTAGATCACAACAGCAGCTCCCACTATTTGGAAGAAATTGCCAAAATTCATCAACTATCAGCTGCTGCCACTCAAGAAGGAAATGTTTTGAATTGAGCCCTCCAGCCCTAGAGGAGAAGGAAGAGAAGGGGAGGAATTGCCTTTACTGCCCACGGGGTATGTCAATCAGCTGACAGTTATAACTCGTGCCTGCGGCAGACCGGGGCTTTTCTACCCCCAGCCTCCATGCAAGCGGAAGGGTCCCAGCCCCAGTTACGAGATGAGCGCGGCCGAGAGCGTGGAGCTGCCTGCTGGCGCAGCAGCAAGACCATGCAGCTACAAGAGGCAAGGGTGGCTGAACTGCAATAACCCCCTCTCAACTCTCAGGACCCAAAAAGCAGGAAAGAGAGCTGGAACGGTGCACGGATGGAATTTAAACCTGGTTTGGTGATGAAAAAGCATACAAGCAGAAATCAGACTAAGGGCGGGCAACGAGTATAATGAGGATTCGTTATTTGGATATAACCCACACGCTTCAAAACAAACTCATCTCTTCTGGTTTTAACACTTTAAATAATATTTAGAGCCAAAAAAGTATATAATGCAAAAAAATCGCACCCCAGTATCTGAAATCAGCACTGTAAATCACAAAGAAAATAATTCCATTTGATAGTATTTACTTTCACAAAGAATATGTGATACTAATCTTTTCATGTAAGGTATCTTATATAATACTATGACTTTCTTATCACAGGTTCAGCCCTGAAAAATATTCTTGGACAGAGAACAAACCTGGATAAAAAAAAAAAAAAAAAAAAGTGCTTTAGTTGCAAGATAGCAGAAGAGGTCCTGAACAACAAGAGCTTTGAATGGCACTTTATCCTTAACACCTACTGCTTTTATTGCCTATTCATTTAACCTTCTTAGCTTTCAAAACTATGAAGCACAGCTCATCTCATAAATGTTATGCTTTCCACCCCTCCTTGCTTCTTAAAGCAATCTAAACTTAACAAGACTGTCTTAACATTCCCTAGGTTTCCTGAAAATTCCTTTGGATCATAACATTTTGCAGTTATGGAGCATTACTAATTAGAAGTTACCTCCAAACAAAAGCCTAGTAAAATATTCACACTACTTTCATGGTCAATGGATAGTTGGATAAATCTGCATAAACCTAAAGCACAAGATTAGAAAGATAGCCCAATTCTTTACCGGGATTTTAAAAACCTACTAATAACCTAAATGGATCGAGGTGTTATGGAGCTTAACTAATGAGCTGGCAAATGCTGGTACTTTATCTTCACACTAAATTCAGCAGAATTCTAAGTTTAGCTTCTAAAGAAGCTTCTGTTCCAGAAATGAATCTATTACAATGAGGGGACAGAAAAGAGACCTGAGTAGTCTGTGCCATTCCTGACTGCCATGGTCCTACAATGCCTTTCAAGTGAAAATAGCCAAGGAAAAGAATTAAAATTCAAAACATTCCTGAGGAAGCATCCAGGTCTTTTTGCAATTCCTCTTTTTCTTCATTTCCAAAAACTTTATTTTTATTCCCTCTGACATTTCAGAAACTCTCACACCAAACTTAAAAAAAAAAAAAAAAAATTATGGAGATGAGCAGGAACTCCACAAGCTTTGCCAAAACTAAAAAAAAAAAAAATTATGGAGATGAGCAGGCACTCCACAAGCTTTGCCAAAATGTTGCCATTTGTTCATGTTAAACCTTGTCAGCTGGCTATCAGCTGACATCCAGAAATGTAGAAAGGAATGGATCAGGACTTGTGCACCAAGACCATCAGTACTCAGGACCACTAAAAAGGAGGCACATCCCATGCCTTGTACGAGGGCACCCGGCTCGCACTGAGACAGGAAGAGGCCACACTCAAAGACTGGAGAGGAGAGGTCATACAAAACCAGAAGGGAAAGCAGGAAGGGGGAGGAAAAGAAGAGAGAGGAGAGAAAGCATGGACACAAACTTAATTCAAGAGTATTTTGTTTCAGGCTTGAGTCATATATCAAGTCAGTATTCCAAAAACACCAAAATGTTTTTTTTCTCAAAATACAGTTTTCCTTACTACTCACACTGATGTCAAGATGTATAGAGGTGTAGCTGGCATTACATAAAAAAGGCAAAAAAATATTGTAGATATGAAACACTCTCCTGTGGGATATACAATACTTCCTTTCTATCGTTTGAGAGACCTTTATAGTCACTTCCTTCTAAAAAGGAGTGGCAAAGGAAGAACAACCTTTTCTTTCCCTTCAGCTTTGATGCAAGTGAAATCTCACGAGTGAACACTGGAAATTCAGCTTCTACAACTAAGAAGTGTGCCAACTGTAAATATGTCTAACGGGATGAATAGATTTTAAATACTTCAATTTGAAAACTTTTTCATTACTCATCTGAATTACTGCATTTTTGGCATTAATTTAGCTGATATTTTGACAGGACTCCTCAAAATACTTGCGTAAGGTGTAGAGCAGCTTGGTAATTATTGTCATAACCCTCCCACATAACAGTAGGTTAAGGCATTTGTTTTAAACTCGATCTTGCAGACTACAGAGAGTTTCACTAAAATCAAACCACAGTTTGATAGGCACAATCTTCAACATCTGATTTAGACAGTTCAGTTATATATAAATTTCCAGGTCCACACAAATGTGTAGTATTTCACGTATTACACTATAATAACACATATCTCATCAATACATCTGAGGGGAAATAAAGCAAAATTTTTTTTTTTTTAACTGAGACCTCTGATTTCAATTTTACACAAACTCCAGTGTGTAATTCAGAGTTTCAACTCTGCATACTTATGTGTCTGTACTTTTATTATGTGGTAAAGAGTGATTCACTTTGACACAGGCATCTAGAAGCCAGTGCGTTAACTTTTTGCTTATGCAGAGATACAGCCTCCAAGAGGTATATGGAAACAACACTCCTCTTCCTTCTCTCTCTCCAATCAATTTTGCACAGCAACATGTTTTGAGAACACAGGGTAACTATGCACACACAGTTGCACTTATACTGAAGGACATAACTGACCCTCACTATTTTAGCATCCATAGTTAAGTTGTATTAATGGCATGCTAAACACTAGAGCCAAAGATGGAAAAAATTCCCTGTGTATTTGATTAGTATTCATGAGCACACTCTCCAGACTCAATATGTGGCACAAACTAGTCCTCATTAATAATTGTCACTGGGATGTGTTGGGCTATAGAAGTCGACACAGCTGACTAAGATGACGTTGAGAGAGAAGCATTTCAGTGCAAAATAAAGCATAGTTCTTGCACATATCAAGATAATATTCTGTTCTTGATTCCAGTAGTGGAGTGGGACAATGACCTGCTATAAAAGGATCAAAACAAAACTAAACCAACAATAAATAAATAAACACACAACACAACATTCTAACCACACCAAAATAGCTCACACAGGGAAAAGTTCCATTTTTAGCTATCTCAGTGCAAGACAACTGATACCAACTTAACAGCACCAACTTAACTTGACCTCTTTTCTCCAGAATTTTAAAGCTGCTCCTTCCCTATCCTTTCCTCTGAACAAGGCAAGCTTTGGCATCATTTAGCAGGTAGCTTAGCTTTGGCACATGGACAAGCCCTCAGAGCAGAAGGATTTATCTTGTTCAGGTTGGAAGTTGACAGTAACCTTGAATTTGATGCATGTTATTTGCCTTCTTATCTGCTCTCTTTCTCCTTTCCATCCTTTGAGACCCTTAATCTCTTTAAAAGACAGGATTCTTTTACTTATTTTCTAGACATGTTCCAAAAGCCTTGTTGTGTAGTTTTAATCTACTCACTAAATGTACAATCAACAGCAATCTTTTTGATGGCCAAATGTGATCCAAGAACTACTAAAAAAAAGGCCTCAAGTACATCATTCAAATAGATTATTCTATTTGTAAATAGCAACAGAATGCATAATTCCAGGAGGAGCACTTGACAACAGAAGCCCTATACAAGCAGGACTGTTGGTTTGGTTTTGTTCTAACTTGTGTTTTACAGGACTGCTGACCCAAAAATGCTGTGTACCAATATTCTGTTCTAACACATACCACTACAAAATCAGCAAATTCAAAATTCTGTCCTGTTTTGCCATTTTGAAATTGTTATAATCTTTAACAGTACCAGGATTTTTTTGGATAGAGAATAAATCAGATAATAGCAGTTGGAATGGAAAAAGAGAGAGATGTAATCCAGTTGTACAGGAGGATGGACACAATTAAAACCGAAGGGTTAGACCACCTTTCCTCTGGAACAGAGCAGTTCACTCAGAAGTGGCAAGAAAGATCAAAAGTATGAGGGTGGGGAC